AACAGCTTCTTGTACCATATGGATGCACACATTATCAAGCCTTCTTAAACTTTCACACATTAAAATGGGCCCATCAGACATGCCCAGTGCTGAGATTCTCTTATCACATTCAACACTCTGGTGAATCCACCAAGCCACTACCCATCATGCGATTCTCCAAAGGAATAGGATTTCTTTCACACCTTTAATGGCTACAGAAAAGGGAACATTTTCATTTTAATTATCTGCTCAGCTCATGGGTTCCTTCGGTATTCCCTTGCCTTGTGCCCTTTCATCACGATAAATTATTGCTGATACCTGGAAGGGAACTACTGAGGAGGGGCTGAAAACGCACATACACATACATATGTGACCCTTTTATGCAGGAGATATAAAGGGTGGTTGGAACGATCTCTGTGAGCAGCATTGTACTTAATATTTCCATCACAGACTTCCTTGCAAAACTGTTCTTGTCCCTTAAACGTTTTCACATTGCTTAACACTTCAGCCCTAAAGCTCAGATTTCATTGAATAAAACAACATAAGCTACTGCATATTTGTAGGCAATATTAAGTAAAAAATGAAATGTTTTCAACATGTTTTATGATTAAAGCTATAAAAAGTAGCATTGTGTATTTATTCATTAACCATAAAGAGCCCACCTACTGTTTGTGCAGTTTAATCAAGCAATATAAATCATTACCCTTTACGTTACCTGAATGTAGCATTTTAACTCTAAAACAGGGTGGTGGCAGCATCATGCTGAGGCATGGTGTTATGGGCAGAAATGTTTGTCATCACAAAATGAATTTAAAATGCCCTGACTGAATCTGTATTCATGTTACTTGAAATTTGACATTTAATGAATTAAATTAGTTAATTCCACAGAATCTAAATTGAATTTTTTTTGTTTAGAACTGAACTGACTTGCTTTGAAAAAGCTTTTTTATTTTTATTTTTTGCATTTTAAAATTCAATTAGTCTTTTTTTTTTACTTTCAGTTCTGCAATTTATGTTCAGTTTGAAAATGTTGTTTTTTCATGTCAGACAATCTTCAGGCAACAGAGTAATCAAACACAAATTCATGGATTGATGTTTCACATCTGGTCAATATTTATCATCACCTATGAGCTCAGCCTTTTAACCATAATATTTGCGTTGCCTTAGAATTCTTTATTTATAATTACATAGGAGCGGGTCTCGCAGCCATGGAGGCTGACATCTTTACGCTACGGCAGCGCAGAGCCAACAAACTAGCGATTGCGAGATCTCCCATGACGCTCGAAAATAACTACGGCAAGTTGAGAGAGATGAACTGAGACGGTACTGAACAGTAGATGGCAGTATTATGCCTGAGAAGCGTTTAGTCTGCCTGAAACCAAAGAAGAAGAAGAAGCAGGTATACTGCGCCTCAGTAACAAGAAAGGTGAACAAGGCGGCAGGTGTGAGTGACTTTGCAAACTGTTTAGCACTGTGTGGCCAAACATCAGACGAATGGAGGATCATGCCTACTCTGTATCACAACGAAAAGCGGCGGACACCGAACCCCCGTCATCTAAGAAGCGGAAACACGACGAGAATAAACGCAAGCGTGACAAGAAACGACAAAAAACACGGATCAACATTGGCACGGCATTTACACGATGGAAGTCACTGATGGAGGAAAAAGGTTTTCAAAGTGACGCTCAAGTTGCCAGTTTTCTCTTGGACAGGTAATTAATCCTACACACACAATTGTCTAATATCACTGCAGTTTTTGGAGTACAGGATGCTCAGACCTGTCTAAAACAATAACATGCTGCGTGATGATGCTGTTACTCTCCAGTATACTTATTCAGCAACGTCCCTGACGTTTTACAGGTAATGATTCAGTAATTTTCTGTAAAATAATTTTCTGGATATATACCTCGGTTACTTCTCTCCGGCTCCTTTGGAGATCTTCAAGCGTTTCCTCCTCTGCTCTCACCCCGCTGGCACCCCTCCCTCGCCTGGCCCTAGCTGCACGGCCTCCCTGCCCTCGTCCTCTCCCTCTTCCTCGCCTTGTAACCCCCGTGCCACCAAAATGACTTGGACTCTGTAAACGGGGAATATATATTCTTCCAGCGAACACAATCTCGCTGTTAAACTAATGACTACAATTACTTCGTCTGTTTATATCACCATGCAAAGCAGCTCACCAAAACGTCACAACGACGTAGAAAAAATAACGGGTATATTTATTATCTTAAGTCTACATGAAATCTATACCCTACACAGACTAATGAAATACTATCTGTAAAATTATCTATGTAAACAAACCTCATCACTTGAGAAGGTAGGTGATGTGGACGTTGTGGAAGACATTTTGTCCCGTAACGCTCGCCGTACTGTTGGGGGGGAGAAGCGGTGGGGGGGAGATGTTCATGTTGCTGCGGTCTGCAGTCTGACCGCTAGATGTCGCTGAAAATTACACACTGTAGCTTTAAGTGTAAAAGGAACGCACTTTGTCCTGTATTATTGTGTGAGTAAAAAAAATAACCAGTAAAGAGCTAATAGAAAATGAAGAACAAGGGCACGTTAGATACAAAACTTTTGGTAAACTTGTTTGCGGGCCCTGTCCTGCGCCATTACCAATGAGCTGACAGGATATATATAACGATCCAGAATCCCCTCATCCCATTGGCTGAGCCGAGTGTTGCTAACGGAGAAGATAGCGGGAGACAACAGAGCAGCAGCACTCAAAGATAAGCAACTCCTCATTGCTGCAAGAGCTCAGAGGAAATACAAGTGGAAAATATAGGCTATCGCTACATAATCTGGAATTGAGCTAATGATTTTTTATTCTGTTTTAAAACTGTAGCCTACAGTCATTAAATTAAAGGCACAAATATGTTTACAAGATTTAAGAACTTTGCTGTTGCACCACAAATGTGCACCATTTATTTATTGTTTCATATTCATTTTTACACTTTGAAGTTAAGCAGGACAGGCTTAAGTTTAAGATACTTATTTTATTCAGCAAAGTTTGTTATTTTGTATTAAAGTGAATTGCTCAATAATAATTTGTTTTCCATGTGTTCATGTCACTCACAGCTATGCATTTAATTCAAAGCAGACTTGAGTTAAATAGTAAAAAAAAAAATTCACAAACAAAAGGGGGCTGAAAAAAATCTCAACAAAAGGAGGTGTTTATTGCGGCTTTATTCTTGTAATTTTACGACTTTATTCTCATAATCTTACAACTTTATTCTTGCAATATTACGATTTTGTTCTAGTAATTTTACAACTTTATTCTCGTAATTTTATTGCTATTCTCGTTACAACTCTATTCTCGTAATCTTACGACTTTATTCTCGAAATAGAAGAAAAAGAAAATCTCTAATCCTTAATACTCGGTCGTAGGATAGGGTTTCCTGACACAAACACATTAAAAACTATTTCTAACTGACATTTTAGAAATGAAAGTAAATAAAGGACAACTTTAATTTTTCATGGAACAAAATGCAATTTCTAAGCAAATAAATTCACTTTGAATGTAGCAAAATTTATAATTTAATTTCACATTACATAAATAGAGTTTCATTAAAGTAAATTCACTGATGGAACAAGTTTCTGTCCACAGTTTCTGTCAATCAGATTGATAGAAGATAGATTATATGAAAAATGAAACTATTCTGTTCAAATCTGCAAAACGTCCAAGATGGAACTATCTCTTTCTGTAGGATCAAGACATGTTCATGTCCATGAGATTGGTAATGCCAAAGTAGCCTAGACTTTGATTATATTTTGAGTTCAGGTGACAGAATCTGATGTTTGCAGATCCTCCTCATGCAGAATGATTTAACTTGCATGTAAATGGGAATTGGAAACACATGGCAAAGAGATGCAGCTGCCAGTGTAAAGAAGGGGACCAAATACCGGTGATTTCTGTCACTTTAGGATTATACATCACTTTGTGTTGGTCTGTCACACAAAATACTAATAAAACAACATATTCTCATTATCAGTTCGTATGAAATCCTACGAAAAGTTATGCACAGTATTTCGTACGTTTTTGACGTTTTTCCTCGAAAAAATAGATCAGTGCGCATGCGCAGGCAGACAGAGGAAAAAAGCAGATCCGCGGACGGACGTAAAAAGGGGAAAAACAGTGCAATAATTACTTCTTCATGTCTCTAACTATGTTGCTTGCTGTTCTGTATCTTAGGGTTAGGGTAAGGCTTAATTGTATGTTAAATTCTATGTTATTGAATGGTGCGTAAGATGCGCAAGGATATCTTGTCTCGAGGCAAGACGTAAAAATTTGACGAAATACGTACGAAATTACGGTGCATAAGTTTTCGTACGATTTCATACGAACTCATAATGAGAATACACTGAATAAAATGCACTGACCTTTATTAATATTACAAAAAAATGTGGAAAGACATGGAGATATCTTCTTCTGCAAGGTACTGTTTGTGTGAAAACAGGTGTTGACTGTTTTGTCTCATCATTTTCTGTCCTTTATATTAAAAGATTTGGCTTTTCTTTAAGACGCAGCATGGGATTAAGCTTTAGTCTTGGAGTCCAATCCTCGCCTCCTCCTCCTCCTGAACCCTGTACTCCCAAGAGTTTTCCACAGAGCCTCAGACGCTGGCAGATCGGCCAGTTCCTCTTTTTCCTTCTTATCAATTCGCCACATCTCAAGCAGCGTGTGTAGATGATGGCACTAGCTGAGCTCCTGCTGCCTCAGCATGTGGTGTCGGCTCGGGAAGGAGAGTGGCCATGTTTGAAGGTTCTGGAGGGGTCTTTGTCCCCGTTCTCTGAGAAGGAGACGCATACTGAGAGATCAGATGGCGTCTAACGTTGGCAAGCGCAGAGATGTCTACTGAATCGGCTCAGAAACCTGACAGATTTTCAGAGACAGCGCTGCTGATCCTGCCAGTTCTCCCATATTCATGAGCTGACTTCTGTGGGACGCCTTGCTGAGACACGCATGAGGAAAAAATGCTATATTAACAGTATTAACCCTTGATTGCTTTGTGGGTTGTGTTTTGCAGCTGAAGCCTGGGCAGGACAACTGCAAGGAGAGCGACAGCGAAGGCGTGAGCGGCAAGTCGAAGCCTTCGATCAGGAGCAGCTCCAGAGACAGAGTGACAGATGTGAGTACGGCAAACCTACCAAACATGGACGACCGAGTTTTAGGCCCATTTTACATCAATTAAAAAATACATTTCTGCCATGAAAAAAAAAAAAACACTAGATTACTTTACTTTTACATAATGAGACAATTTGTGTAAATTCTATGATGTGGTAATATTAAAAGTTACAATGTTCTAAGGTTAAAGACATCTTTAATGTATAGTAAACATAGTGGTTTCAGAAAATAAGCCTTTTTTTCATCAGACAAAAAATAATACTTGGAACTGCATGATGACGCAGTTTTGGATTTGATTCCCAACCTCAAGTCTTTTTGCATGGAGTTTGCATGTTCTCCCTGAGCATGCGTGCGTTCTCTCCGGGTACTCCGGCTTCCTCCCACAGTCCAGAAACATGACTGTTGGGTTACTTGGCTTCTCTAAAATGTCCTTAGGTGCCATTGTGTTTGTGCACGGGTGTATGTCTCTGACTTGCCCTGTGACAGACTGGCGACCTTTCCAGGGTGAACCCCGCCTCTTGGTTGGATGGATGGATGGATGGATGGATGGATGGATGGATGGATGGATGGATGGATGGATGGATGGATGGATGGATGGATGGATGGAGAAAAAAATGCTGAACAATGTCTAAAGTTAGTCCTCTAAGTCCTCTAAGGTTAAACTACTTTGTTGCTTTCAAATGTTTCTTTGATTTAAAATAAAGTTTTCACACCCCTCCTTGACCAATCTCTATGTTATAAAGTCAGAATTCTGCCAAAAAGACAGAATGTAAGAAATGCTCATATGAGCAGTTTTATTTAAGACACACATGTATATATGTCAGACATGTACAGTAGCAGCCATTCAAAATGGCCCCTCCCAGTCATAATCCAGTCGAATGGCAGCAAAATCCCCTCCAGCTTCCAGCCACTGGCCTTCTGATGGGCGTGTTTATTATTTTACTCTGACTCTACCCTTTCACTGAATTACACAGTCTAACCAGGAGGTAACACTTCTCTTTAGATCTTAATGTCCACAAATGATGACAGAGAGAATATTTTAGATAGGGGACCAGCCAAGGTGCCATCAAGGAAAGTGTAGAAATTTTGAATGGCTACTGCTGTAAATTCCTGATCCTTCTATACACTCTCCTGCTTTTTATGCACTTGTAGATTCATTTTTACTTGCTTGTGATCCTGTGTACTCACCAAACTTTTTCACTGTGAGCTTTGGACCAACCTGAGAATGGAAACTGCCTGTGATTGGCTACTTTTCCGGAGGTCCCGCCTCTTGAGATCAAACCATTTTCTTCTTGGTAGTGACGAGTAATTTTAGCGAAACAATTTCAGGCTAATTGCTTTTAAAACCAAACTTTTAAAACATTTCATTGAAAGAAATCATTTGGAAATGAGTTTTCTTTTTCAACTTTTTTTAATAATCATATAATTTGTATTTTTTTCACCAAATTTTGCTATAACTGTCTGAATTTTAAACATTAAATCATGTGCTATGACCTCACAGTTACTTAGAACCTGAGTAGCAATTTCTTTGATGACTACTTTCTACTCTTGAATGAAAAATACGGGAATACTCTTCCAAAACCAGTTTGTATCTTAGGGAACTTCTGACATTTTAGATTTTATTTTATCAATTTTCTGTTTTTCAGGTTGAGTTTTATGTACTCATTTTTTTATAAATCAAATTCTCTTCACTTCAAGCCTAATACAAACACTCACTCCTGACCTAAGACTCAATCTAAAAATGAATTTGAAAAAAACAAGATTATATATACATATATATATATATATATATATATATATATATATATATATATATATATATATATATATATATATATATATATAAAACTGTGGAACATTTCAGATATGTTGAATTTAGATTTTTTTTATCAAATATGAAAATAAATTTGAATAAATAAACAAAAAAATCTAAGAAAGCAGCAAAGTTATTCTCAAAACCATTTTATTGACACAGACGTTTTCAATTTCCATATTTATTAATTTTTTTCATTTACCCACACACATTTTTGGTATTTGCCTAAAACATTGGAACAGAAATACTTTACATAAAATAACTAACATTAGTGGAAGGACCTAAATCTCTGACACTTCTAGAAAAAGAGTCATTATATAACAAATTCAGCATTTTTTCAGTTTAAACTTAAAGGAGTAATTTCGTAAAACAACGTGACCGAGACATCTAATAATTGGTGATTTGAAAAGAGTATTTCTGATTCATGTCATTATTTTTTCAGTGATATAAAATCATTGAAGCCTCAGTGAATGATGGTTTATCCTAATTTGCACCTTGCACATATGTTTTTCTACTAAATGTATATATTTATGATGTTTCTGAACTCCAGGCTCCGAATAATTTAAATGCTGGCTAATGTCCAGTGTAACCAGAGGAGGGAAAACACTGTTAAATCCAGCTGCTGGAGCTTTAACAGAACCTCCTACATGAAGGTAGAAATGATAAAAACAAGTGTTTTTTTTCATTCCAATGGTGGGAACTGCTGCATTTACCTTCACTTATGATATATGTCCTAAATAAAGAGAAGAACCTTAAACGCAGCAAAGGTAGCATGCTCCAGTGTAGGTAGAGCAGCTCCCTCTTATCCTTTGTTTCCTCTGCCAGGATTAGATGCTGCAGTAGCTTCCTGGCAGAGGCTATCACATAACACCAAATAACTATTTACAGCTTCTTCTTCCCTGTTTTTCCTTGCCTTTGTTGGGAAGGATCAACCAGTTTTGGGTAAAATAAGTCAAGCAAACAGAAGCTTCAACAGCGTGTTTACACATGACATTGTTTTGTGTTTTTTCCTGGTATGGGGAAGCCCTGGAACATTCCTAGTTTGATTGAAGACTGAAGGACTGATGCAGGGTGATACAATTCAACAACCTTAGTGGTGTTGTTTTTTTAATCCAAATTCACCCAAAGCAACAGTTAAACCTCATGGTCTGTTCATCCTTTATTTAGTGTTGCCGCCTTTTTAAAGGAAAACTCTGATCATATTCAGAATTCAAACTTCTGAAAGTACTTTAAATTTGAAATTATTACACACTATTCAATAAATGAATAGTTTTTTTTAATAAAAAGTAAATTTCATGTGAATGTGCTTTACTGGAGGCATCCATGTTTGTCAAAGAACGCTACTGCCACCTACAGTACTGGTTTGTGACGTATCGGCTGTTGATCAAGTCCCAGTGCTGTATCTGGTGTTTGTCACAACGCGATATTATCCAAGTCATCTTGAAAACATTCTTCTTCCAAATGTTGGCTACATATTACGGGTTTTTTCTCTGGCCGGAAGTTTGATGGCAAATCCTCCCTCTTAGAAATCCAATGACGAACCCGTCCGTGGAGGATCAGGAATCAGAAAGGTGAAATAACTAATGTTTTTTCACTTTTACCCGATGTATTCCAGCATCCAGCTGCCATGCACGTGGGCATTCTCAGTTTCACTATAGCTCTGGTGAATTTCAATGGTGAAGTCCTCTGGAAATCTTCAATAATTGTTGTTGATTGCAGATGTGTCTAGTAGTTCCCATTGATTTTGCTTGTAAAGCGGGGAGAATGGCGCTAGGCTTACCGCACTGTGACGTCACTGCTGGAAGATGGCAGGAGGGAGGGGTTACTATATTTGGGCAAAAATGGCTGCAGTCCCGATTCAGTGATCGCAACAAACATTATTGTTTTTATTTCTTTACTGATTAACGCTAAATTTATTAAATCACAGCAAAGTTATTATTTTTATATATATTCCTTGCTGACCAGACTTTTCCTGCCTAACTTTAGACTCAATTATTAGCTTAATTTGAAATGTATATTAAATGATTTTAGGTTTTTGAATAAGGTCTGTGATTCATGAGTGAATTTACAAACTGTTATCTTGCTTCTTATGCTGCTTTTGGAGAACTTTTGCAGGGTGACCTAACACCACCTTCACAATAGCTTCACTGTGGATGATGTCACTCTTTTCAACCAACATTCAGTGTTGTTTTTGACAACCAACTTAGATTAAGTCTTGTTTTAGTCTTCAGGAAGAAAACTATTAATAGTTTTAGTCGCATTTTTGTCATTACTTTATGTGATAGTTTTAGTCGGTTTTCGTCGACAAAAACTCAGAAAGGTTTCAGTCTGTTTTTAATCAGTTTTATGTTGCAATTCATAAAACAGTTTACAATTTTTATTAACAACCAGATTCTTTAGCAGACTGAAAGCTCTTGCCTAGATACTAACATAGCTGGGTATAGAATACCGTGTTTCATCATTGCTGTTGGGGAGAAATCTTTGATTTATAGAATTCAAATAAACTTTTTTATGAATTAATGTCCTATTTTATACAAACGTGTCTCATAAAAGTTGTGAAAATAGCAGATCTAGTTCAACATCATATTGGTTAATATAGCAGACAGACAAGCTAACAAAATATACAGTAGAAGAATGGTTTTATACATAAAAGGTTTCCACCCCAAAGCAAACACTTTGTGATCTACTATGAATTATGCATTACACACAGATCAGTAAAATCTTCATTACTCCAAAATAGCAAAGAAAAAAAACATTCTTCTTTCTACTTTGGCAATTTTGGCTTTATTTCTTCAATTTGTCCTTTGATTATGACTGCTCAGGGGTCAAAGTAGATTTAAATTCACAGGGTTTTGATATTAAAATAAAAAATAAATAAAGAGATAACCTACATAATTGCCTTGTAATGCCATGGCAATCCAGACCTAAATTTAATCAATATACCAACTAATATGTTGAAATATTTAAAGGAAACAGAGAAAATGTTTTAATGACAATACAAGGAAACATTTACATCATATTTGAATAGATAGAAACAAGAACAATGATAAAGAAATATATTAATCTATGATCTATGTTCCTTTTCATCTGGGTCTTTAGCCAAAAAGAAACAGGAAGCAATGAAATATTTGCTTGTTTATAATTTAGGGATTCCTTTTTGTAGAAATTAAAGAAGGTTTAGTATCACCTCC